CTCAAAAAGACCAAAAAAAAAAAAACAAAAAAAAAAAAAAAAAAAAAACAGTATGAAGGTCAGGGTGACCTTGCCCCTCTGATTTTCAAGTATCTTAAGTCAAAATAGAATGTCTAGGTAGTGTATTAAGTCTTCTGCGTGAGTGCCCTGTACGTGTGCCTCTTTGGTTACTTTCCGTTCCCCCCTGCCTTCTCATGATTTTCTAGGTTGTTTCTCCTCCTAATCTAGTTATTGGGAATCTAGATGGGGCTGTCCCTTTGGACAAGGGCTTCTCTTTGCTCAGGTATGGCCTGTCTATTCTTGGGTTGCTTATGCTGTGTGGGAACTGTGCTGTCAGGCTGGTGATATGCCAGACCAAAAAAAAAAAAGTGGGGGAGGGATACACTGTCACACAGTAAAGTATCTGCACAGAGGTATTCTAGGGGTCCCTCTTATTGGGGGGGTTCTACTCGAGCAGTTAGGCAGTGTGTCAGTGTGGTTGTTTACTGTTTATTGGGTGAATACCTGTGTGGGGCTTGTATCTGAGTGGTGGTTTTGCTGAATAAGTTTTACAGTGTAGGTTTCTGTTCTTGGGACTGGCTATCTTATTGGTGCAGTGCAGCATGGGTCAGAGGGGTCAAACTCCTGATGGTCTAAACCTGCTCATTAAAGTCTAGAATTCTCTGATTACTGCTAGTACATGGCGCTGAAGCAGATTGCAGCTGGTGCTTGTTAAGGTTAACTTGCTCCAGTCCTGCTCAGAAGCAGCAGGGTTCTTCTCTGAGACAAAAGCAGCCCTGTTCTGTGGTTAAAATAGTTCTGCATTGCCATCCTAGAAACACATACACAGGTTAGATCTATTTCCAGAGTTGGCAAGGCCTGCCATTTCTCCTGGTGGCCTGCAAGATGGAGAGAGCCCAGCATCCTGCAGCACATGGTGACGGTGGGGAGGTAGTTCTGGCAGGACCAGGAAGAATGGAAATGCTCACAGAGCTTCCCTTTTCCTTCTGCTCTCCTGAGGGACCACAGCAGATTTGGAATATAGACACTTAATACATGTAAATTAAAATTTTTGTCAAATGGTTAAAGTGATAAATTTTATATTCTCTATATTTTATCACCATAATTATAATAAAGAATATCTTTACATTTTTAAATTATATTTTATTTTATGTGTGCATTCATCTCTCTCTCTCTTTCTCTGGGTGTGGGTGTGAGTGCCATGGCACCAATTAACTCATAAATATGGAATAATAAAGGTTAGTTCTATAATAAGGAAATGAATGTATAGAGTATAGAGAGAAGATGGTGATTGTAGTAGACTTATAACCCAGACACCAAAGATGTAACTCACAGGACAGGGGCTTTCACAGGATTTTAATCCCATTCACTTCCCATTTCCCATGATCCATATGACTCCCTCTTTAAAAATTTTATTTTGGAGAACTTCAAACTTGTAAGCACAGCTGTGAGCTCCCATCTGACTCCCCTTAGCCATGAGAAGGGTAGAAGCCTTTGCTGTTTCTTTGGCCCCAGCTGCCCATGGGCTCCATGGATATCACTCTCAAAGACAGTTTCCAGGTATGGAGTGGGTAAGGGACTTTGAGTAGGATGCCCAGTCCTGGTTTGCAGAGCTCTGTCTGGTCACTATACCAGCTTGTTTTGACTTTGACCATCAGCCATCCAATTTTCCTGCCACAGCGTACCCAGTGCATTCATTCAGCAAGCCATCTCACCACTAGAGTCAGGGCCCTGTTCCTCTTCCCTAGATAGCACCATGACATCTTATTGGTGGCAGACTTAGTTAGTACTCAAATCGGAATCATTGGTTTCAAATTCCAAACTTGTGGAATGTACCCAAGGGTCAGATAGAGGGATGCATGTGTGCAAAGAGAAGGGGGTGGGGCCAGAAGGAAGGGGTGAGGAACACTCTCAGGGCTCAGTGTGCTTTTGAGTCAATATCTTTTTTTGGAAACCTGGCTCTAAAGTCCTGTGTCATAAGAATCTCTCAAGAAGACAGCCCACCAATAAGGAGACCTTAGGAGACTGTGACCTTCTGCCAGAGACCAGGCAGTGCAGGTTTGCCATGTGTCGAAGGGCACTTGAGTGAGGCCCAGTCAGCAGACTGCACTTCTCACCAGCTTTGGAGTTAATTTGGTAAGTCTTGCAGGCTGCCTTCCTTCAGATGTTTACCTAAAGCCTCCATCTGCCTCCAAATTTAGATAGATGAGAAGTTTAGCATATTTGAGACATATTTTTGCACTTGGCTATATACAGGATTGAACTTCAATCTGCTTTAAATTTAATTTTGGTGTGTGTGTGTGTGTGTGTGTGTGTGTGTGTGTGTGTGTAGCTTTACTGCCCTTTTCCTGGGGTCATCTTTCAAAGTGCAAGTTGCATAAACATGTAAGGGTATATTTTTCTCATATAACAAAAGTTTGGAGGGGGAAGGGGTTGGCTCAGTGGCTTGAGGAATGGCAACTGAGAGCCTAGAAGTCTCTTGGTCTGTGACATCTGTCTCAGGATGGTTCCAGCCATCATGGTCGAGTTCCAGACAGGACAGGGGACAGGGAAAATAAGCATGGCCTAGTTCCTACTGAAATCAAACTCCTTTTCAAACTTTTCCAATAGCCTTTCATTACTGGTTGCTGTATAATGGGAGTTGGGAAGAATGTCTTTCAAAGATGCACATTTCTGCCACCAGCAATAGAGAGTTCTCAGAAGGGAGGAAAGGGAACATGGGTGTTGATGGAAACTGGCAGCTTGCTGGAGTCCTTCCTAGTGCTGCTTGTTTCTGAATTCTATCTCATTCATCTCTATCTGTTCTGACACTAGACCACATTGCAATCCATCCAAAAATCTGGTTGTCGACTTCTGCTTTCTATAGAGCCAACATGTGAGCTTGTTTAGACAATTAGTAAGCTAAGCAAGCCTTGTACTTATCTGCCACACCACCTGCATATTGAGACATGTCAGTGAGAACCATTGCTAGAATGCATCCTTGCAGGGCAAGCCAGTTATGGAGATGCCACAGGCTTTTCTGGATTGGACTTCTGGAAAGATAGTAGTCTCTACTTCGGAAATTCCTATTTTGACAAAATTTACTCAAGCACTGAAGATTTTAATTTCTTCTGCCCCACCCACTTAATTTTGAGTTCCTTGGCATTAACTTAGTGTTTTTGTATGTTCACAAGATTCCAGGGCATTTTGCATCTTTAAGCCAAAAGTTTGGTTAAACAGTGCAATCATGCCAGAGGCCGTTTTGAGGTAGGGGTGCGTGCGTGTGTGTTTTGAGAAAGGGACACTGTAGCTCAGGCACCTGAGTACTGAGATTATAGCTGTGGGCCACCATGCCTAGATGATCTTGAATCATTCAGTGGAAATACAGAAGCAGTATTGACATGTCTTGTTGAAGAAAACACGTGCGCAAGTTCTTCTGCTGACTTGAACAGTGCCTTTTATCCATTCATGAGCAGCAAAGCTCAGACTCTGCCACTTCTGATACTGACAACCTGATTCACATCTGTTCACCCTATGCTTTTTCCACCATGTGGTTATTCAAGGACAGAAATGCACATGTGGAAATTGGTTACCCACACCTCTTCAATTGGCTACAAAACTTTTGAAGAATTAAATTTAAGCAAAATAAAATATGGACTAGGGTATATGATATCAAAATAAATGCTTCCAGAAGAGATTTCAGGGGAGGAAAAAAATCATACCTGCATACTTTGGATGGGAAAAGTTACTTTCTTTCTAATACAATAAACATTCATTAAAAAATAGACCAAGGGCCGGGTGTGGTGGTGCACGCCTTTAATCCCAGCACTTGGGAGGCAGAGGCAGGAGGATCTCTGTGAGTTCAACACCAGCCTGGTCTACATAGTGAGTTCCAGGACAGCTGGGGCTACAGGAAGACCCTGTCTCATAAAGACCAAAAAAAAAAACATAGACAATGACTGGGGCAATGGGTCAGTAAGTAAGAACAGTTACTATACAAGCACAAAAACCCAAGTTGGGTTCCCCAACATCCTTATAAGAAATAAAAAAAGCCGGGCATGTCTATGTGTGCCTATAACCCTATAAACCCTAGCACTGGGAGGCAGACGGGTTCCAAGAGCTCTCTGGTCAGCCAGCCTAGTCACAGTGGCAAACTTCCAGTTCAGTGAGAAATCCTGTCTCAAAATAGTAAGGCAGAGAGAGAGAAGACACCTGATGCCCTGCTCTGACTTCTTCATGCACATGCAAAAGGGCACACACTCATGTGCGTGCAACACTCAGGACAAATGTTTTTTAATTCAGTTTTTCTACTTTATAGAAAAAAAGAAGCCAAGATTTTTTGATGTTTTAGTGGTAGAATATGAAACATAAAACACAATTTTTTTATTATACCCTAAGCTAAATGAGAAGGACAGGAAGTGAGGAGGGAAGGAAACCTTTTCGATAAAGCTTCAGAGGCAAAGGTTTCTTCTGCAATCCTTTATTTCTAAAAGGGCAAACATGGCATGCAATCTTTTGCCAAACTAAAACAAGGGCACAGGTACTTCTGGAATGCCCCCTTCTTTTCACAGTTTTTTTCCCTATAGAGGAAAAACTATTTTATTCCATGTTGAGGGTCACAAAATATTACAAATTGAAAACCTTCATTGGTTTCGTGGTTTCTGGCATTTTGGACTTATTGGTGACAGTTTCTTAATGTCCATGTAGCCTTGCCAGCTTTTGCTGTTTATTAAAAGGAACCATATAAAATAAAATTCAGAATCAAGTTGATTCCCCAGATTGATATAACTACAAAAAGATGACTAATTTCCAGGAGGAGTGTGTTGTGTTGTGTGTGGGGAGGGGAGGGGGTTGGCTTGGTTTTATTGTGGTGGTTTTAGGGGTGTTGGGGTCTGTTTGTTGCTATAGTGCTGTGACCCAGATTTCCCACAATTTTATGGACCACCATCTATCTGGTCAACACAGTCTGATATAAATGATTCATTTCCCACGTAACCTTACATGTTTGTGATTCTCCCTAGACTTTAAAGGCTCCAGAGAAGGTATTGCAGGACGAATAATAATCTAAAGAAGTGGTGTGTAGAATGGTTTTCGTGTCCAGCATTTCCACTGAGGCCTCTGTTCTCGCTATCTTGAAGGTAAAGTGGCTATTTTTAAAAAATGGAAGCCATACTTTTTTAGGGTCACACTGAAACAAACAGCCTAGCAAGAAAGCTGTCAGTACTAGCATGCCCTACAGGGGTTCCATAAGCCCCTTTGAATGAGGAACCTACTTAACTGTACTGAGACAGTGTCACTGGACAAAATGATCTGAGTGACAGGACACTGCAAAGACCCTGTTTAAGGGTGTGCATTGTTGATTTGTGTTGCTGTAAAGTCCTCAGGGTGGCTCTCTCAGTTACATGGTCCTTAGAAATGGCTCTGCCAAACAGAGACCAATAATGACCCATTGTAGTCTTGCAATGCCTGAAGAATTTCCCCTAAAAGATTGTGAACTTAGAGGAGAAATGTGTGGCTTCTGGTACTCATTGCATTGCAAATGCTGCCTAGGCTCTGCAGGGAATGGGCTGTGTGTGCTCTTAGATGCCTTTGAAAGAAACTCTGGCTACCAGTCTTTCAAAAAGCACTGAGTATTGGGAGGGGGCTATAGAAACCACTGCAAACATTAATAGAGTAACTACTGCCTTCCTGGCCCATTCCAGGCAGGTGCTTGTCTACAGAATTCTGAAACCACAGGAAGAATTCTGAAACTTCAGTAAAGCCTTCTTTTAGCAAAAAGAATGTTGTCAAATAGTAAAGAACAAAAACTATTTCGAATGTCAGAATGGAGGGGAGAATGTGCTGCTTCAGAAAAATAAAATCACGTAGTACTGACTCTCTGATTTCCTAGGAAACTGTTCCTCTTATGGAGGTCCTAGAGCCTGACATTTGCAGATAAATATTGTCTTTTTCCTGTATCTTTTTCACACGAGTTATGGCATATAGTCTTCCCAATAGTGCTGTGGAATAGAGAAACCATGATCCTGCTTAATGCCTGGGGCATAAAGACTTGCCCAGGATTAATGGTTTGCTGGGTCACTTGAGAAGTTTCAGCAGCAGAGCCCAGACTAGAACATGGGTCTTCTGGCTTTGTCCCATTGGACAGCTATCATGTGCTAGGCTAGAGATGGAGTAGTGAACAAAGCCTTTGAGGACCTCATGTTCCTGTTTAAAGACAGATAATAAACAAGCTCATACTGACTGCAGCATGTGACAAGGGCTCAGAAAAAACAGGAGTGCGATAGGCAGGAGAGATTTGGGAAAAGTAATTAGAGATGACTCAAGAAGGATATGATTTCTACAAAGCGAGATCCCTGCAGGCCAGCATCCAGGAAAATGTGGTCTAGATTCAGGAACAGCAAGTGACAATGTCAAGGAAAAGACTGGTATTCTAGAAGCTTTTAGAAGGCTTAGAGCTGAATGAGAGTAAAGGGGTCAGATGACCTTGTAGAGAAAGAGAGGAAGACAGGCATAGGAACGTCTGGCCTTTGAGGCTATGGAAGGAATTCTGACTTTTTTCTAAGTGAAGTGAAATCCTAGTGAAGGATTTAACATATAGGGAATATGTAGGTGTCTGATTTATGAATGAAGAGTGGACTAGGGGAAACAGGGAAACCAGATAAAAGGCTATTTCATACCCAGGCAAAAAGTTGATGTGGCTTGGATTAGAGTGGCTCCCACAGAGTGGAGAAAAGGAATGATTCTGAAATACATTTTGGATGTAGAACCAATGGTGTCCCACTAGCACTAAGAGATTGGAGAAGCAATCTTGACTTGTGGTTGGTGATAATTAGACCAGAGTTGAAAATCCTAGCTCCACTTCATACTAGTATTCTGACCCAAAGTAAGTTATGTATTCTCTGTGACTTAATTTCTCATATGAAAAGCAGGGCTAGTGATAGTACCTACCCCATAGATTTATTGAACATAATAAGATGATACAAATAATACTAATACTCTGCATAGGCCATTAAGAAGGGGCAAACATGTGTCCATGGACTCAGGCAGCATGAAGAATTTCATTGAATTTTGTCAAAGCCATCTCAGTGATGGGGAGTTGGAGCCACCCTGACCCCATTAGGTCCCTTGATAGATATTAGTTGGCTGGAGGCATATTGCTATGGTCTGAATGTGTACTCCCAAAATTCATATGTTTAAACTTAATTGCTAATGCGATGGTATTAAGAAGTATAGAAGATTATTAAGGCATGCATGTAGTGCCACCATGAATGGAATCAGTGACCTTATAAGAAGTGTGAGAGGGCTGTTCACCTCTTCTACCCTTTGGGCCTTCTGCTTTTTGCCACAGGAGGACACAGCAACAAGGCACTGTCTTGGAAGATAGAGTAAGCCATCACCAAATGTGGATCTATCCTTGATCCCAGCTTCCCGTGCCATGAGAAATAAGTTTCTGTTGATAAATTCCCCAATCTATGGTATTTTGTTGTAGTAGCAAGAACAGACTAAGACACATATGTAATGGAGGAGATGCATTCCTAACATCCTAAGACTGAAGCAAGGGTTACATGGTGAGCAGACGCCTTGAAGGACTGTGGACTTAGTCATAAGTCCTTTTTAGTTTTAAGACTTTTAGGCTTCTTCAGGAATTATGGGTTTATCCATTAAGCATTGATCAAAGAGACCTTTAAAAGTTAGCTTTATTATTTAAGTGGGGTTTTTTCCTGTTGAAAAGCATGTTTACACTGTTAGAAATGTTTAACATTTTACAGACCCGGTTTAGGATAGGGTCAATTCATAGCATATTATGAAATGAAAGAAACAAATAGGACAGTTCCTGCACAGTGAGACTGCTGTTAAAAGGCAAACCCAAGAGGTGGGGGAAGGTGTGTTTATTAAAAGCAGACTGAAGGACATGCTGCCCACAGAGTATCATTGTCTGGTGATGGATGGCTGCTGGGCTGTTTTCTTCTGTAGACTTTTCTGACTTTCTGATTTCCTTTTTAATGAAACTGTTTAGTTTTGTAGAAAATGAAAAAACCCCTTTTATTCCTTGTAAAGATTGCAGTCACTGATTATTTGAAGGTTGTCTCAGTGTGTATTGTATTATTGGCCCAGCCGGTGCTGTTCCTGTGGTTTTTGTAGGTGCTGTGTTTACCTACTCACACTGTGATAATGATTTGCCTTTGCAACATTCTGTCTAGAACAATGAGAATGTAAGGTCATAGAGAAACTTGTCTTTCTACTTCTTTGCACATTACAAGGTACTGTGGGGGCGTGGAGGAAACCACTGGGGCTTAGTCATCCTCCCACCTAACAGTCCTGGTCCAGAATCCTCCAGGGTTGGTAATGAGCAAGTTGTCATGGGGAGACTCAGTGACCTCACTGAAATCAAGGCACAGTGGTGGGACATAAGCTTGTTCCACTGTGATACATCAGGAACCCTCCTCTGCCTAGGAGATTTGGGGTTTTATTTATTTTTGTGTTTTTTTTTAAATACACTTATCTTTATATTTCTGTTCTTAAGTGGTGATGACTCTTCTTTATAACATTTTAGAAAGAACAAATCCTGACACTTCCAAATCAATAAGCTTTTCATATCCTATATTTCAAATGGACATATAATAAAACAAAGTTTAAAGACTTAAAGGTAGAGCAAAAATGGAATAGTATCTGTCTGGAGAGACATTTCATCCAGAAAGTTTTCTAAGATAATTAGAAATTCTCAGACAGCCTGAATTGTGTAACTAATAACTGTGAGAGGAAATGAATCAGCAAGTCACAGGTGACAAGATATGAGCCAGCCATCCCTGGTGACAGAAGCCCTGATGATGAGCTTGCTTCTTATTGGCTGAAGATTGGCTCATTATTGATTGGCCTGGGTCTGGGGCCTCAGTGACAGATGTGGCTCATCTCTAGGTCTCTATAAGTCAGTTCTCCACAAGTTCTCTCTCAGACAGGTATAAGGTCTCAGGAGTGGAGTTCATTTGTTTCTGCTTCAGTACAGTTATAAGACTTAGAATGGGAACATTAGTCAAGGGCTAAACTGTTATGAAAAATATGGAGAATTTTTTCCCTCATAACCAAGAGGTGGAGTTGCATTGAGGGTTGAGTGTGCCTGTAGAACAATACTTCGTGGCTTAAATTCTAACTAAAACACTTTCCACATCTGTAGACTTGGGGGAGGTGTGAGATAT